AAGTTGGATTCCTAGGTATTTTATTCTCTTTGAAGCAATTGTGAATGGGAGTTCATTCATAATTTGGCTCTCTGTTTGTCTGTTACTGGTGTATAAGAATGCTTGTGATTTTTGCACATTGATTTTGTATCCTGAGACTTTGCTGAAGTTGCTTATCAGCTTAAGGAGATTTTGGGCTGAGACAATGGGGTTTTCTAAGTATACAATCATGTCATCTGCAAACAGGGACAATTTGACTTCTTCTTTTCCTAACTGAATACCCTTTATTTCTTTCTCTTACCTGATTGCCCTAGCCAGAACTTCCAACACTATGTTGAATAGGAGTGGTGAGAGACAGCATTCCTGTCTTGTGCCAGCTTTCAAAGGGAATTTTTCCCATTTTTGCCCATTCAGTATGATATTGGCTGTGGGTTTGTCATAAATAGCTCTTATTATTTTGAGGTACGTTCTATCAATACCGAATTTATTGAGCGTTTTTAGCATGAAGGGCTGTTGAATTTTGTCAAAAGCCTTTTCTGCATCTATTAAGATAATCATGTGGTTTTTGTCTTTGGTTCTGTTTATATGCTGGATTACGTTTATTGATTTGTGTATGTTGAACCAGCCTTGCATCCCAGGGATGAAGCCCATTTGATCATGGTGGATAAGCTTTTTGATATGCTGCTGGATCTGGTTTGCCAGTATTTTATTGAGGATTTTTGCATCAATGTTCATCAGGGATATTGGTCTAAAATTCTCTTTTTTTGTTGTGTCTCTGCCAGGCTTTGGTATCAGGATGATGTTGGTCTCATAAAATGAGTTAGGGAGGATTCCCTCTTTTTCTATTGATTGGAATAGTTTCAGAAGGAATGGTACCAGCTCCTCCTTGTACCTATGCTAGAATTCACCTGTGAATCCATCTGGTCCTGGACTTTTTTTGGTTGGTAGGCTATTAATTATTGCCTCAATTTCAGAGCCTGCTATTGGTCTATTCAGGGATTCAGCTTCTTCCTGGTTTAGTCTTGGGAGAGTGTAAGTGTCCAGGAAATTATCCATTTCTTCTAGATTTTCTAGTTTATTTGTGTAGAGGTGTTTATAGTAGTCTCTGATGGTAGTTTGTATTTCTGTGGGGTCGGTGGTGATATCCCCTTTATCATTTTTTATTGCATCTATTTGATTCTTCTCTCTTTTCTTCTTTATTAGTCTTGCTAGCAGTCTATCAATTTTGTTGATCTTTTCAAAAAACCAACTCCTGGATTCATTGATTTTTTGGAGGGTTTTTTGTGTCTCTATCTCCTTCAGTTCTGCTCTGATCTTAGTTATTTCTTGCCTTCTGCTAGCTTTTGAATGTGTTTGCTCTTGCTTCTCTAGTTCTTTTAATTGTGATGTTAGAGTGTCAATTTTAGATCTTTCCAGCTTTCTCTTGTGGGCATTTAGTGCTATAAATTTTCCTCTACAAAACTGCTTTAAATGTATCCCAGAGATTCTGGTATGTTGTATCTTTGTTCTCATTGGTTTCAAAGAACATCTTTATTTCTGCCTTCATTTCGTTATGTACCCAGTAGTCATTCAGGAGCAGGTTATTCAGTTTCCATACAGTTGAGCGGTTTTGATTGAGTTTCCTAGTCCTGAGTTCTAGTTTGATTGCACTGTGGTCTGAGAGATAGTTTGTTATAATTTCTGTTCTTGTACATTTGCTGAGGAGTGCTTTACTTCTAATTATGTGGTCAATTTTGGAATAAGTGTGGTGTGGTGCTGAGAAGAATGTATATTCTGTTGATTTGGGGTGGAGAGTTCTGTAGATGTCTATTAGGTCTGCTTGCTGCAGAGATGAGTTCAATTCCTGGATATCCTTGTTAACTTTCTGTCTCGTTGATCTGTCTAATGTTGACAGTGGGGTGTTGAAGTCTCCCAATATTATTGTATAGGAGTCTAAGTCTCTTTGTAAGTCTCTGAGGACTTGCTTTATGAATCTGGGTGCTCCTGTATTGGGTGCATATATATTTAGGATAGTTAGCTCTTCCTGTTGAATTGATCCCTTTACCATTATGTAATGGCCTTCTTTGTCTCTTTTGATCTTTGATGGTTTAAAGTCTGTTTTATCAGAGACTAGGATTGCAACCCCTGCTTTTTTTTGTTCTCCATTTGCTTGGTAGATCTTCCTCCATCCCTTTATTTTGAGCCTATGTATGTCTCTGCATGTGAGATGGGTCTCCTGAATACAGCAAACTGATGGGTCTTGACTCTTTATCCAGTTTGCTGGTCTGTGTCTTTTAATTGGAGCATTTAGTCCATTTACATTTAAGGTTAATATTGTTATGTGTGAACTTGATCCTGCCATTATGATATTAACTGGTTATTTTGCTCGTTAGTTGATGCAGTTTCTTCCTAGCCTTGATGGTCTTTACATTTTGGCATGTTTTTGCAATGGCTGGTACCGGTTGTTCCTTTCCATGTTTAGTGCTTCCTTCAGGGTCTCTTGTAAGGCAGGCCTAGTGGTGACAAAATCTCTAAGCATTTGCTTATCTGTAAAGGATTTTATTTCTCCTTCACTTATGAAACTTAGTTTGGCTGGATATGAAATTCTGGGTTTAAAATTCTTTTATTTAAGAATGTTGAATATTGGCCCGCACTCTCTTCTGGCTTGTAGAGTTTCTGCCGAGAGATCTGCTGTTAGTCTGATGGGCTTCCCTTTGTGGGTAACCCGACCTTTCTCTCTGGCTGCCCTTAAGATTTTTTTCCTCATTTCAACTTTGGTGAATCTGGCAATTATGTGTCTTGGAGTTGCTCTTCTCGAGGAGCATCTTTGTGGCGTTCTCTGTATTTCCTGAATTTGAATGTTGACCTGCCCTACTAGGTTGGGGAAGTTCTCTTGGATGATATCCTGAAGAGTGTTTTCCAACTTGGTTCCATTTTCTCCCTCACTTTCAGGCACCCCAATCAGATGTAGATTTGGTCGTTTTACATAATCCCATACTTCTTGCAGGCTTTGTTCATTTCTTTTTCTTCTTTTTTCTTTAGGTTTCTCTTCTTGCTTCATTTCATTCATTTGATCCTCAATCGCTGATACTCTTTCTTCCAGTTGATCGAGTCGGTTACTGAAGCTTGTGCATTTGTCACGTATTTCTTGTGTCATGGTTTTCATCTCTGTCAGTTCGTTTATGGCCTTCTCTGCATTAATTATTCTAGTTATCAATTCTTCCACTCTTTTTTCAAGATTTTTAGTTTCTTTGTGCTGGGTACGTAATTCCCCCTTTAGCTCTGAGAAGTTTGATGGACTGAAGCCTTCTTCTCTCATCTCGTCACAGTCATTCTCCATCCAGCTTTGATCCGTTGCTGGCGATGAGCTGCGTTCCTTTGCAGGGGGAGATGCGCTCTTATTTTTTGATTTTCCAGCTTTTCTGCCCTGCTTTTTCCCCATCTTTGTGGTTTTATCTGCCTCTGGTCTTTGATGATGGTGACGTACTGATGGGGTTTTGGTGTGGGTATCCTTCCTGTTTGTTAGTTTTCCTTCTAACAGTTAGGACCCTCAGCTGTAGGTCTGTTGGAGATTGCTTGAGGTCCACTCCAGACCCTGTTTGCCTGGGTATCAGCAGCAGAGGCTGCAGAAGATAGAATATTGCTGAACAGCGAGTGTACCTGTCTGATTCTTGCTTTGGAAGCTTTCTCTCAGGGGTGTACTCCACTGTGTAAGGTGTGGGGTGTTGGTCTGCCCCTAGTGGGGGATGTCTCCCAGTTAGGCTACTCAGGGGTCAGGGACCCACTTGAGCAGGCAGTCTGTTCGTTCTCAGATCTCAACCTCCGTGTTGGGAGATCCACTGCTCTCTTCAAAGCTGTCAGACAGAGTCGTTTGCTTCTGCAGAGGCTTCTGCTGCTTTTTGTTGTTGTTGTTGTTGTTGTTGTTGTTTAGCTGTGCCCTGTCCCCAGAGGTGGAGTCTACAGAGACAGACTGGCCTCCTTGAACTGCTGTGAGCTCCACCCAGTTCGAGCTTCCCAGCGGCTTTGTTTACCTACTTAAGCCTCAGCAATGGCAGGCGCCCGTCCTCCAGCCTTGCTGTTGGATCGCAGACTGCTGTGCTAGCAATGTGGGAGGCTCCATGGGCATGGGACCCTCCCGGCCAGGTGTGGAATATAATCTCCTGGTGTGCCCATTTGCTAAGACTCTTGGTAAAGCGCAGTATTGGGGTGGGAGTTACCCGATTTTCCAGGTGTTGTATGTCTCAGTCCCCTGGCTAGGAAAAGGGATTCCCTTCCCCCTTGCGCTTCCCAGGTGAGGTGATGCCTTGCCCTGCTTCAGCTCTCGCTGGTCGGGCTGCAGCAGCTGACCAGCACCGATTGTCCGGCACTCCCTAGTGAGATGAACCCAGTACCTCAGTTGAAAATGTAGAAATCACCTGTCTTCTGTGTCACTCGCGCTGGGAGCTGGAGACTGGAGCTGTTCCTATTCGGCCATCTTGCCGGAAATGTAGACTCAAAATCTTCTACATGGAAAGCTAGGTGACCTAGCAGAGTATGTGAATGAAGGGGTGCCACTGGAACTTGGATCTCCCAAATGAGGATGAGTACAGCTTACTGTATTGTGCGCATAAGACCACACACACAGATACAGAGGCACACACATGCAATTACACACATGCATACTCACATGCACACACATGTGCACGTGCATGCTCACATGCATGCACAGATATGTGCACACACGCATGCACTCTCACACATACATCCACACACAATGCACTCACGCACACACGTGCGATCACAATGTATGCACTCTCACACATACATGCACACACAATGCACTCATGCACACACGTGCAATCACATGTGCATGCACTCATACACACATGCAAACACACACTAACACACATGCATGCACAAACGCATGCATGCGCACACACACATACACTCATACACATGCATGCACACACACACATGCACTCACACACACATGCATGCACACACACTTCTGTCTCTGACTTTTGTCCTTTTCTCAAACCCGTCTTCTCCTTGACCACCTGCAGCGCTGGAGTGCCCAGAGAACAGCCATTTTGAGGAGTGTATAACATGTACAGAGACCTGTGAGACCCTTGCCCTGGGCCCCATCTGCGTGGATAGCTGCTCTGAGGGATGTCAGTGTGATGAGGGCTACGCTCTACTGGGCAGCCAGTGTGTCACGCGGAGTGAGTGTGGCTGCAACTTTGAGGGGCACCAACTTGTCACCAATGAGACCTTCTGGGTGGACCTGGACTGCCAGATCTTCTGCTATTGCAATGGCACAGACAACAGTGTCCACTGTGAGACCGTGCCCTGCAAGGATGATGAGTACTGCATGGAGGAGGGTGGCCTGTACTACTGCCAAGCCCGCACCGACGCCTCCTGCATCGTCTCAGGCTATGGCCACTACCTCACCTTTGATGGCTTCTCCTTTGACTTCCAGACCAGCTGCCCGCTCATCCTGTGCACCACAGGAAGCAGGCCGAGCTCAGACTCTTTCCCCAAGTTTGTTGTCACAGCCAAGAATGAGGACCGGGACCCGTCACTGGCCTTGTGGGTTAAGCAGGTGGACGTGACCGTGTTTGGCTACAGCATCGTGATCCACCGAGCCTACAAGCACACTGTGCTGGTGAGTAGTCACGGGGCCCCCTCAAGAGGGGAGTCGTGGAGATGTAAGGATGGGGTCAGCAAGGCAGGCTGCAGTTGAATCAGGCAGGTCCGGAATCCAAAGAAAATCATAGTATATTAAAGCAGAGAGAGGCCCTAGAGATTTTCGGTCACTTCATCTTACAGAGAAGGAAACAGAGGCTCAGAGAAAAAAATGATTTGCCCAAGTCACATACACCAAGTTAGGAGGCAGAGCCAGCTCTGGAAGTGGGCCTTTCATGTGGCAGCGGAGTATGTTGGAGAGAGCACAGACCGGGGTTAGCATCCCTGCTTGGTGGCTGCTGTGTGACTTCAGGCAGTCACTTAACCTCCTAGCTTGGTCACTCCACCTGTAAAAGAAATGCCTACCTTGTACAGACTAGGCCTCCCTAACTGATGCTATTGTCCTCGTCCACCCACTTCCCTTTTTTGAGATCAGGGTGATATTCACCTGTTCTGGCCTCCCTCCATCTCTCCTGGTCTCCCTTTTGGCACCCACAGGATTTGTAAGTTTACACATTTGGAGGACTCGTGGCTCTCCTACAATCCCTTTACTCACTTAGGCTTCAACTCACTCTTTCTAAGCTTCCCACCTTTTCACCCAAAGAGCACTTCCTTGACCACGAAGACAGGGGCAGTGGGGCTGAGGAGCTCTGTGCACTCCTCGTCTGGCCTGCAGACATCAGCCCCAGCCACAGGCCCAGCCATTCTTTCTCCAGGGCCCTGCTCTGCACATGACTGGAAATGCTAAGAAGCAAGCCAATGGCCTCTGCTTTAGCATTTCAGAGAGCTGATTTAGGGTGTTTGCCTTCTTGACATTATCATCACAGGTCTGTGTCATAATTTTTCTATCTCTAAAGGGACTCTTTTTCATCTTGTATATGTTGTGTTAGAAATTCTGAGCTATACTGAACTAAACTATCTAAACCTAACTAAAGAGTTCCCTGGGCAACTATACTGACTTCTTTTTCTGCCTCGGGATTCCTTCAACTTCCTTCTCTGACAAAGAGAGGTTCCCAAGCCTTTCAAGTTTATTGAAAATCTTCCTTTTTAGCATCTAAGGGAGCAATTTCACTGTGTCGTCCTCTTCCCTTGCTTGCACACCACAAACCTAAATTCCAGTTGTTTTCCTTTCTGCTCATCCTAACAGTTCATTCCAGTAGCCATTATTGCATTCATCAGGCTGTATTTTTCGTGATCTTCATGTCTAAAGCTCTCTCACTTCTAATCATGGGCTTCATAAGGGCAGGAACCATACCTAATTCATCTTTATGTTGAATGAATGGGCAACCCCCTGCACCTAGTGACACTCGAAACATTGGTCAAATGAATGAATGAGGCTGGGCATGGCGGCTCATGTCTGTAATCCCAGCACTCTGGGAAGCCAAGACAGGTGGATCAGAAGGTCAAGGGTTCAAGACCAGCCTGCCCAAGATGGTGAAAGCCCGTCTCTATTAAAAATACAAAAATTAGCCAGGCATAGTGGTGGGCACCTGTAATCCCAGCTACTCGGGAGGCTGAGGCAGAGAAATGCTTGAACCCGGAAGGTGGAGATTGCAGTGAGGTGAAATTATGCTATTGCACTCCAGCCTGGGTGACAGAGCGAGACTCTGTTCCCCCGACCCCCCAAAAAGAGAATGAATGAAACGACACAATAACCGCTTTCTTCCAGGGTTCCCGTGATTTTGTCACAGTGCTAGTTACTGCTTCAACAATCTGAGAGGTTACATTGCCACTGAGGCAAGTTAGGACTGTGTCAGAGTCTTGGCTTTCAGCCACATAAGATTTCTAGATGTTTGGATAGTCAAAGCTACCCATAACGACAACTTCCCTCTATCCATTTTCATCTTACGTTAAAACAAATATATTGGTCGTTTTGCCCACGTTGCTTGCGTCATATTTGTCCTTTACTCTTTGTTTCCTTTTGTGATGTCTTTCCACCCTTAGATTTAGGTGTTTTCATGCAGTTACTTATCTCTTTGATACTCGCTGCTCTTCTGCCTTTCTGCCTTTCAGGTTTTTCTTTTCTTTTAAAGTGTAATCTGTTCATGGGTCCTGTCTCATCTAGTTTAAGATGAATTGTGTTTTCTGCCTCGTGTTACACACTGTCTGCATTTAGGTACCTCGACACCTGAGGCTACGCATGTTGGCTTCAGACATCCTCCCAGTTCTTTTCAGGTATAGACTGTGGGGTCCTCGTGAGCACCTACTCTTCTTTCATGCTACCCTTCCCTCTCCTTCACAATAAACGACTTCCCACTGTCTCTAGGCATTTCCTTCCCTTTCCCTCTACTTTAGGGTTAAGCCGCCAGTGGGTTAGCTCTCCTTCCAGGCATGTGCTCTGCCCCAGTCTCACAAGATGCACTTATTGCTAAAGTCCCAAGCCTGGAGAACCACACAGCAGACTTCTTCCTCACAGAGAGATGGAGAGTGGGGTGTGAATTAGTTTATTAAGGTCTGCCATTATGAAATACCACAGACTGGGTGGCCTAAAACAACAGCAACTCATTCTTTCCCAGTTCTGGAGGCTGTAAGTCCAAAGTCAAGGTGGTGGCAGGTTCAGACTCCCCAGGAGGTCCTGGGGAAGCACCACCCCCTACCTCTCCCATAGCTTCTGGTGGCTGTGGGCAGTCCTCAATGTTCCTTACCTTGTGGCAGCATAAACTCCAGTCTCTGCCTCTATCTTTACATGGCCTCCTTCCCTCTGTGTCTCCTGTTTTCTCTGTGTCCAAATCTCCTTCTCCTTTTAAGAACACCATTCACTGGAGTTAACCCCACCTAATCCAGGGTGACCTCATCTTAACTTGATCACATCGACAAAGCCCCTATTTCCAATCAGTCCATTCACAGGTCCTGGGGGTTAAGGTCTCAACATTTATTTTGGGGGGACACAGTGTAACCCACAACAGGGGGTCAAGGAGAAATGGATTAAAGAGGTGGGGGGAGTTCTTGCTAGGGCACTTCTTTCTAAGTCACTGAGATGTCCTAAGTGCTCAAGCTGGAAACAGAGTATACAGCTTTCAAACCCTTGACAAGAAGACCAAGTTCAGGGTTCATCGAGGGTTCTTTTCTTTCAAGGCATAGGGGATAGATTTAACAGTTACTTCAGATTATTAAAATGCATTGCAGAATCTGCTTATTCAATGATTTGCATTTGTTTTCCCATGATGTTTTTATTAGTCACCATCTCTCCCTGAGCCTGAAGAATAATGGCCGTTAGGATGACAGTGTGAAATGAAGTGCTGGGTAAAACACAGCCTAGAGTGCAGGTCACTGCTGGGGCCCTCAGAAATGGAGGGTGATAAGAAAGTGCTTCCTTGGGACACAGGGTTCTTCTATGACTCTGACCTTTCCCTGCATTCAGCAGCACCGCAGGACATGGGAAAATCCACTAAGCCAAGAGAAACTAGAAATAAATGTGCTATCTATAGACCAGACAGGGTAGGGGGGTGAGCTGCAGAAGGTGAGCCACTCCTGGGGGCACCGCCATAACCCATCTCAGCCATCCACAGCCAGAGCTCATCAGAGACTGCCTCACTCCTGCCCCTACCCCCAGGCTTCATCACAGCCAAGTCTGACATGATTCAGGCCAACGGGGAGGTTTTCAGGGTCCTCATAGCCTGTGTCTTTATCATTTATTGCCAGAAGAGTGGGGTTTTGAGCATAACTCTGGCTTGGTTTAGTGTCATGAGCTTCTATTGATGCTTATTCTCTACCAAGCCCTGGGGGTAGAAAAATGAATCAAATATGGCCTCTGTCCTAAAAGAGTCTAGTGCTAGAGACAGACATGTTGGCAATTAACGTCTGTGTAACATGAAGAGCTGCAAAAATGTTGCTCATGGAGGGTGTGAGAGCACAGAGGAGGGGTTGCCTAAATCAGCTGCGAGGACCTCAGGGAGGGCTTCCTGGAAGAGAAGACGCAGAGTTGATCACTGGAGGATTACACTTGCCAGGCCAAGAAGGAGGTGAAGGTGTCCACGAAAAGGAAATACTGATGAAGACTCGGGGTGGGTAGCAAAGTGAGGCATGCAGGAAGGCTGCGCAGAAGATCTTCTTGGAGAACTAGGTCAGGGTCTGTGGTTTAAAGGAAAACTGTCTCCAAAAACTCTAATATGTGGTCTTATTTCCAATACTGAAATATTTGAAATACACTTCCCCCGACTCCTCCCACACCTTCTCAGCATCCTCTGCGACTTCCTCCTCCATCCATCAAGCCTGTTGCCATTCTAGCCTCTCCCTTTTCCTCTGACCTCCTGCCTCTGAGCTCCCTCTTTTCCTCCATTTCTCACTCACAGAGAGGCAGGGCAGTGGTGCCAGGGTGGAGGCGGCATGCGTGGGGTTTCTGAGACACAGAGAAGCCGAGCCTGTCTGAGTCGAGGGTGTTCCTTTCTCAAAGCGCTCCTTGGCAATGGCAGAATTTGCAAGCCTTTAGCTTCATCCAATTATATTGCCTCCCCAAGGCATTGCCTTCTGCGTGACATCAGGTAGCTAGAAATATAGAATGCAAGGTAACTTAGGAAGAAAAGCCAGCTGGCACCAATTGGCCTCTGAGTGCAAGGCTTTTACTTTATTCGCTGTGAACTTTCAGGATAGATCAGAGTCTCCATGGCCTGATCTCGCTCCTCCTCTCACCCTCCATGCACCTTGTCCCTTAAATGACTATCACTGCATCCTCTCCACCTCCTCCCTTCCAAGTGCCGAGAATGAGGCATCTCTTCTCCTCCCATGGCTGCTTTCCCCCTCTGCCATCTCTTTGTTGCCTTCCCTGGGATCTTGACCCTCTGTTGTCTCCTCTCCCTTCTGTGTCTTTCTACAGCATCCTTCTCTTCAACCCATAAACATGTTCATTCTCAAACAAGCCTGGCCCCCAGTTCCCCACTAGCTTCAATCCAATCTCTCTCCTTCCATTTCTGGTCAGATTCTTAAGAGCATCATCTCTGCTTCTGAATCTCCTGTTTGTTACTTTATTTGCTATTTGTTTCTGCAATCCAAATTCTGGCCTCATCTTCCTACTTAAATTCTCTTATTAAGATTGCTGATGCTTTTGTTTTACAAAACAAATGGGTGTTTTACAGGCTTTATCTCATAGGCCGCTTTGCCATGTGTGTACTGGATACAAGGCCCTTCATGATGCAGGCCCTCCCCACCTGTCTATTTTCATCTCCCACCACTCCCAAGGCCACACGCTCTGCCCCAGCAGCACTAAATTGCTGTAATTATTCATATTTATCAGGATATTTTTCCCTTATGTACCTGGGCCTTTGCTGGGACTGAGTGAGCCCTTTACTTCGAATTCCCTTGTCTTCGCTCCCACCCCTCCTTGATGGGCCAACTCCTCCTCCTCCTCTGAGACCGGGTGTGGGCATTGTCTTCTGCAGGCAGCCCTGATTTTGTGCCCAGGCTAAGGCTGGTGCCTGTGCATTTGTTTACCTCTATCATTGCTTTTATCACATGTATTGTTATCTGTCTGTGCACTTCCCTCTGCCACATGCCTATGAGCTCCTAGGAAAAGGCCGTATGTTTTGTATCCCAGCCTTTAGCACGGTGCCTGGCACTCAGTGGTGTCAAATCAATGTCTACTGGATGAATGAATGAATTCTGCCTCAATGAATACTCACAGAAGGAGATAGTTGAGTTTTGAAGGGTGAGCATTGCCCCAGGAAAAAGGTGGGGTCAAGGGCATCCCTGTTGTCTTAGGTCAGGTTCCTGAGAAGCAAAGTCTGAGGTGGGAAATCTTGGGAAAGTGAGGATAGCACCAGGTCAAGAGAGCTCAGCAGGCCTGTGGTCCAAGCTGCAGAACAGCTTTAGCCTGGGCTAGTGGGAGCCCTGGCACTCGACTCACAGTGTCAGCCAGTAATTGGCCAAGGGCTACCCTTGGATTAGGGGGTCAGAATCTTCTGGGCAACGTGGTTCTCATGGGGCCAAGGCTGGCTGTGAGTTATCATTAGCCCATAGTCGCAGGGCCTGGGACTGGGGGCCCTGGGTGGAGCACGGAAAGCATCCATCACACTCACAGCACAGGAAATGCAGGGTGGAATGGCACAGCTTGGTTCATTTAGGGAACTGCAAACTGTTGGGTGTTGCTGGTGTGCAGGAAGCCAATGGGGTGGATCTGAGAGGCAGGGCCGGTTCCTGGAGAGCCCAGGGTGAAGTGCTAAGAATATCAGACACTTTACTCAAGCCCTGGAGTGGGCTTTCAGGGTTAGATTAACTGCTTTCAATTGCATTAAGATTATTGGCATGGCGGTAGTGACCGAATGGATGGGCAATCCTGGGGCCAAGGAGACAAGTTAGGAGAGTACGCTACAGTCAAGGTGAAAGGTGATGAGAGTCTGAACCAAGGCAGGAGAAGGCGTGGAAAGTGGTGTCAGCCAAGAGAGAGAGGAAGGAGGTTGGGGAAAGGGATTTCTGGTCAGAGCAATCTTAAAACAGCTGCTTCTCCTACAAGGCATGCCACCTCCCCCGTGAGCCCTTGCTGCAGTGAGCAAGCTGGCTGTCCATCTTCCATCATGCACTAACCTGGCCACAGGCTGTAGGATTTGGCTCCTCTGAATCAAAATAGTTCAAGGGCAATGCAGTCCTGGAGTTTACTGTTAAGGGATTTCCCTCTTGTCTGAATTTAAAAATATGTGGGAGGAAACGTATGTCAAGTGCCCCCTCTGTGGGAGACATTGTGCTGGGTGCCTGGGGGGTAATGAGGCGAAGGTGGGCATAAAGATCAATAAAATGTGGTTCCTGCCCTCAAGTTGCCCATAATCTTGTAGGTGAGATGGAAGGGCGTACACCAGTCATAACATAAGGCAGATTGTGATGTGTGCTGCAATACAGTGTCTGCAGGCTTGATCCTGGCCAGCGGTGGAGAGGAATACAAGAGAAGTATAAATAACCTGCCCTGGTTTCCCAGACAAGGGAGTGATTAATTCTGACCACGGGCTCAGAAAATCTTGCCTTACAGAAGAAGCAACATTGGAGCAGGGTCTGGAGGATGACAGGCATGTTGATGGGCGGAGAGTGGCATTTCAGACAGAGGGAACAGCAAAGTGAAGCCATCCTTAAAGAAAAAAGAAATCTCGAAGGAATTAATACACTGGGGCTTGCCTAAAATAAATTCCATGGTAGAGCTAGAAATAGAAACACAAGAGTTCTATGTTTTGGTAGTTCAGTCTAAACTTTAATTGAATTCTTATTACCTTTACATTACCTTGGAGAAAACAATTTGAACTCCTGGGGGAAATAATGCTATGTAAACAGAAGGCACTGAAATAAATAGGTATATTAGTGTACCAAGGATAGTCATTTGCGTCTGTTCAAATCCTAATAATAATAGTTGCTGACATAAACAACAGTACATGCAAAGACTACATTCAACCTGCTCCGACTTCCCTCTGGGACTTGTCTTTCAAGAGACTCATTGTTAGGAGAAGAGCTGGGAAATCTCTGGGCCAACTGTGTTTCTCCCCCTCATCTCTCCTCTTATAGGTCAACAGTGAACGGCTCTATCTGCCCCTGAAGCTGGGGCAAGGAAAGATAAATATCTTTTCCTTTGGCTTCCACGTGGTGGTGGAAACTGATTTTGGCCTGAAGGTTGTATATGACTGGAAGACCTTCCTGTCCATCACAGTCCCTCGGAGCATGCAGAATAGCACCTATGGTCTGTGCGGCCGCTACAACGGCAACCCTGACGACGACCTGGAGATGCCCATAGGTCTGCTCGCATCCAGTGTCAATGAGTTTGGGCAGAGCTGGGTGAAGAGGGACACCTTCTGCCAGGTGGGCTGTGGGGACCGCTGTCCATCCTGTGCCAAGGTAGAAGGTTTCTCCAAAGTGCAGCAGCTGTGCAGCCTGATCCCCAACCAGAATGCTGGCTTCTCCAAGTGTCACAGCAAAGTTAACCCCAGCTTCTTCTACAAGAACTGCCTGTTTGACTCTTGCATCGATGGGGGCGCGGTGCAGACTGCCTGTAGCTGGCTGCAGAACTATGCCAGCACCTGCCAGACTCAGGGGATCACGGTGACTGGCTGGAGGAACTACACATCCTGCAGTGAGTCCTTCTCATTGTCGCTCCTTGTAGCTTCTCTTCTTTCTTGATTGCTCTGGGAAGGCTAGTCTTCCATCTCCCTAGAAGTCAGAACATATTGAGTAGCAATTTAAGGATATGCACTTTGGAACTGAGTTTGTTATCTGAATGAAGCATGACATGTAACCTCCTGGAGCCTCCATGTCCTTATTGGTAAAATGGAGTTAATATCACTTATTTCATGGGTTACCCTGAGGATGAAATAAGGTCAGACATATAAATCACAGAGTATCGCACATGGCATTTGGACGCACAAAGTTCACAATAGAATGCTAACAAGAGATTAATGAAAGAAGGATAAGTTTTAGCAGCACCTCATGGGCCCATCCTTGTGTTAATAATCCGCATGCTTTGTCTAAGCATGTTATTCTATTTGATTCATACGTGTCATGTTTCAGTCTTTGTGTTTATGAAACAGAGCGGAATATTAAGAGTACATTAGAGAAGGAACTAGTGCCCCTGGATTCTAGCCTTTACTCTGTCTTTAAGGATCTGTGTGACCTTGGGGCAATTCACTTTTCCTCCCTGGTTCTCAGTTTCCCCTTCCATAAAGCAGTATTAATGTTGCCTTTACTGTTTATGCCTCAGAAACATCCAGGGGATCCAATTAGGTAATTGAAAGCCAGGCCCACTCTGTGCATTCTAAGCGGTATTGTTATATTAATGGCTTGCTCTGAGCCAAGACCCCATGCTAAACATTTTATCAATATACCTCATTTATTCTTCTCAATGACCCAATTAGTCAAGGAGCAACTGAGACTCAGAGGAATGAAGTAATTGCCTAAGGTCGTATAATCTGAGTGGCAAAGTCAGGACTCGAGCTTCTAACCCAAAGCCCAGGCTCCCAACCCATATACTATACTGCTGGACTATGTACTAGGATAATTTACCTGCATTCAGCACATAAGAATGGGAAAAACTTGGGGGAAAAAAAACACTGTTGGTCTTTAGCTAACCTGCTTTGATCTATTTTCCTGTCTCAATCTCATTAATAATAGCATATTTCTTTAAAAAGCATATTCCCTTTAGAAGGTCTGTAGCTCTTTTAAAACTACAAATTGATCCGGAATGCATAGAGCTCTAAATAAGTGATACAGCAGGGTCCCCAGAGAATCAACTTCCATCTTCATCCTGGAAAAGGAAATTCAGATGAAAAACCAGAAACAGCATTGTGGTTTAACGCTCACACAGTCAGTTTACATTCCACACAACTGGATTCATGTCAATTGTAAGGGAAGGGTGGGAGGAAGATGAAGGCAGGGAACAGATGCCAACCCCATTTTATCCAGGCTCAGTCCCTGAGTGGGTGAGGCCAGGCAGGGTAGGGAATGGTGCCAGTAGGGATGACAGTCCAGACAAACTGGCCTCTGATGACTTCAATAAAATAAATATACCTATAAGAAAGCTCGGGTCTGGGTAAATCCCCAGAGCTACTCTGTATTCATTGGGGTCATTCCAGTAAGACCAGAGAGCTTGTCTTCCTCTAAATCAGAAAACCAAGCTTTGGACCCAGAGGCCTAAACATGGTGCAGAATGGGGAAGCTGTTTTGGAAGGGAAAGCTCGCCTGTTTCCCCTTGAGACATGTTACAGAGACTTCCCTCTTCACCTGCAGCCACGCCATGCTGGGTGTACTGCTCTCAGGGTGGCTGGGGTGGGGACAAGCATGCCAAAAACCAGTGCTTCCAACTGCAACAAATAGGGAAATGCACACAGGGGTTAATGCCAGGAACTCTCACCTCAATTGATGGGTCTTAATTTTTGTCACTCATGGGAAGGAAAAGAAATCGAGTCAGCAAGGCCTCACAACCTTACCCCCAAGAAAGAAAGGCCCCCACAACAAAGCTTGGCTAGGGATAAAGGATAAGAAGGTGATTTTTCTTGTCTTTCTCTCCCTTCTACCAGCAACCCTTTCCTCTCCCCTCCCAAATTTCTGTCCAAACATTGGTTGCCTCCTTTCTACCCTGGCTTGCTAGTAATGGGAGCTCTACCCATGGCACCCAGAGCCGAGTCTGCCCTGCCTCATCCTCAGTCTCGGGTCCCATCCCTTGCCTTCTACCAGCTTCCCACCAGCACGTCCCAGGCTGATACGCCAGGGCCAGCAGGTAACTTAGAATCGTTCCCATCACAAGGAGACTTAGACCTTCCCTACCTTGACATTTCAAGATAGGGGTAAAGATCCAAAAGTTAGAGCTCCTGAGGAGATGGTGGTAATGAATGGCAAAAAGAAAAACTAAAATAGGAGAAAAAATATATGTTTTAAAGCTGGTATGGAGGTCAGGTTGGGGGAGAGGGCGTGGTTAGAGGCAACTTCCTTTTCCATTTTGAATCTCAGAAGCAGAGAAAAGCTTTGGGAGACTGAGTCCTAATTCAGCCATTCGACCTAAGAATAGGATTGTTTTAACTGTAGCTGATATGACTCCACATCATGTGAGGATAGGCCCCATCTCTCTCCAACTCCTGTTCTACCAAAAATTAATCCAAGCATCTCATCCAATGCTTGATATGAGAAATGGTGCTTTAGGAGCAAAGGGGTTAACCTAGAACTGCCCATCAAACTTGTGCTTTTTTGGTAACAAGGTAGAATGCTGGTGTTTTTCAAGGATCCGACCGTTCCTATCAATGGGATAATTTATTACTCAATTACCTTATTTGTAAACTCATTGGAAAATCTTGTAACCTAAGTTGAGCAAATAGGCTTACAGGGAGAAGGGAAGGTAAATTGTCTTAATTACTAGCCCCTCCTTAAAATTCATTGAGCTGAGTCTATCATTCTTTCAGTCCCTTAATGGGGGACTGTAATTAGGGTATTTGATGGTGAGAGGAGAAAGAGAAGGAAATAAAAAAGGAATAAATGACAGTTCCTTAGCTCTCACTATGTGCCAGGCTCTAAGTGTGATCTGGGGACTCATGCATTTACTTCTCATTGCAACCCTGTCAAGTAGGCACTACTCATAATCCCATTTTCTATAGGAAGAAACTGAAGCTCAGAGAAATGAAGTCACTTTCCCGAGGAAGGTGGCCTGGGTAAGTTGGAAAGTGGCTCCTGAGACAGTGCTCTCCCTTCTGTGCAATGCTGCCTCTCTGAGCCTGGTCACCCAGTGCCTAACTTGTGGCCAAAGTTGGTTGTCATCATCATTTTCCCTTTTATTGGAGGCAGCTGCTGCTACTTCAGAGTGCTGGGTACAAAGTCTGATAATTAAGATTTGTCTTACATATTTCTCCAAACATCTAATAAATTCTTGTTGAATAATTGTTAAAAAAAATTCCTTCTACGATTACAACTATTACTACTATGAATTGCAGAAGTTATTATTGAAGTACCAGGCACTATATGAGGTGCTTTATGAATTATATCTTTTATTTTGATAACTACTTGATGAGGGAGATATTATGATCCCAGTTTTATAGATGAGAAAACAGAGTTTTAGAGAGAGCAAGTGACCTGTCCATAGTGACACTGCTTAATGGCAGAGCGAGGCCTCAAATCCAGGTTGGTCTGATTCCAAAGCCCCTGTCCATTCTGTTGAGCTGAATTGCTTTTTAGGGGCGCCATTCATCCTGTCTACCAAGGCACAGATGCTGGGTATGGCAAGAGACACATTCTTGACCATGGTACAAATTCAGGTGCAGAGCCCAGGTCATCACTCCACAGCTCGCAAGTATATCATTTGGTGGGGAGAGAGAAGCAGTGGATCAGGACTAGGAATCTGAAAGTTTGTTTTCCAAGAATCAAGTGTTTCTTAACCATCTGCCATGTTCTCAGCACTGTTTGGGGTGGTATGGAAGAATCAGAGTGTGAAACATGGTGTTTATCATCCAGTTGGAGAAATAGACCCATTTGAAATACTTGAAATAACAAACATCTCTAAATTAGTAATACCTCTTCCCAAATATTACAGTGTATTGCAGACCTTCAGTCACTGTTAACACGGGCATATGAACAAGTTAAACAAATAAATAATAAAAATAAAACAAGTGAATACTGGCACATGAACAGAAAGACCAACCAAGGGAAAGAAGAGAAAGTTCAGAAACAAGCCCAAACACTAAAGAGAAATTAGCATATGGTAAAGTTGGCATTTCAAAGTACTGGGAAAACATATTTGTTACTCAGTAAATAGTAAAAGGTCAAAGGGCAAACTAGCTGGGAAAAGATAAATCCTTCCTTCATTTCTTACTCCAAAATAAAATCCAGGCAGAACAAAGATTACACATAAAAAAATTAAATCAGAAAAATACTAGAAGAAAACAAAGGAGTGTTCTTGATAATCTTGCAGTGGAGAGAACGTTTCAGAACAAATTATCCAAAGTTAAAAGGGAAATTTGATAAATTACATTAAAAATTTTACATCTTTCCATGGCAGAGAGATAAACAACTTCAAAAAAAGTTAGAAAATTATTTAAAAATGAATGCAAAATCAAAAGACAAATGATAAATATTTTGTAACCCATACGACATACCACAAAGGCCTATTTTAATTCTTTTTTTTTTTTTTTTGAGATGGAGTCTCACTCTGTCACCAGGCTGGAGTGCAGTGGCATGATCTTAGCTCACTGCAACCTCCACCTCCTGGGTTCAAGCAATTCTCCTGCCTCAGCCTCCCAAGTAGCTGGGACTAAAGACAAGCGCCACCATGCCTGGCTAATTTTTGTATTTTTAGTAGAGACAGGGTTTCACCATGTTGGTCAGGCTGGTCTCAATCTCTTGACCTCGTGATCCACTACCTTGGACTGCCAAAGTGCTGGGATTACAGGCATGAACCACTGCACCTGACCTGGCCTATTTTAATTTTTAAAGAACTCTTATAATTTAATAATAAAAATTTCAACAACATGAAATGTGAAAAGGATATGAAAAGGCAGTTAACAAAAAAAGACATACAAATGGATTGTAAACAAATGAAAGCAAGAAGATCAACCTCACAAAGAAATGCAAACTAAATAAGGATATATAATAATAATAATAATAATAATAATAATAATACACATATAGCATAAGGAGACAGCACATATAGTATTTTAACCTTGTTTCCAAGGATCAGACAAGTTGGTGATAGACAATCAAGGAGAGTGTGGGAAAACAAACTTCCTCCAACAGTGCAGGGACGAAGACAAATTGGCACAGCCTCTTTAGAGGCAACTTAGTGGCATTCATACCATTTGACCCAGTAATTCCACTTTCAGTAATTTGTTCCGCAGATGCCCTTACTCATGAGGGCAAAGATATACGTACAGGGATGTTCACTGCAGCATCAGCATAAACACATAAAATACACTCAGCATGCAGCAGCGCAAAAGCAATAATTTGAGGCTAAATGAAATGAATATTGTCATAAAGAAAGCAATGAGCAGAAATGTATATATATTATGCTCCCATTTATGCAAAAAATAATGGGCAGGGCATACACATATGCTTGTGTGCATACATACACACACAAATGGGTGCTTGTATATGCATAGAACACTTCTGGAAAAATGGACTATAGTTTGGTATCAGAGGTTGCCATTTCATCATGCTTTTACTTGTATGGTTTGGATTTTCTATGCTATGCAAGTATTATGTATTAAACTACAAATGTTTTTTTAAAAACATATGGTATATTGTGAGAGTGGTTATATGAATCAAAACGTGTTAAAATTCATAGAACTGTGTACTCTAAAAGTAGATGTTACCACTAGATAATTTAATAAATGAAATAACCCCCCATATAGATACTGTATACAGTATAGGGTGGACATTCCCACATAATGGTAGTTGTGCTTTTAGTATACATTGATTGAGATAATAGCTTCCACAAAACTTTTTAAGCAAACCTATCTTTAATGATTGACTAATACTTATGGAACACTTATGTGCCAACCACTGTCCTGAGCCCACAGACTCACTTAATCCTTTGCAACCAGGCATGAAGCGAATGCTATTGGTATCTGTATTTATAGATAAGAAAGCTGAAGCTCAGAGAGCCCGAGTGATGCTCTGGGTCTCTGATAGCTGGTTCCAGAGCCCACACCCTTCACCAGGACCCTACTTGCCTTCTATAGAAGCATCTAGATACATTTGAAAAATGGTAGAACATAATTGATGTGAGTCAGTTTGCACAGACATGTGCACATGCACACACACGTGCACGCCAGCACGTGTACTCAGGCACACACACACACACACACACAGGCACACACACACACACAGTGTACATTTGCCTTCTCAGAGATCATGGGGCTCAGGCATCTATGGATGGTAAACTGGTGGCTTCGAAAAAGGTTCTGTAGAAGCTCTGGGGTGTAGAGGAGCTGACATTGGTCTAAGAGGGAGAGCTATATGGGTAAGCTGGGACTCCCACTGGGACTTGAAGAACCAGGAATTTGGATAGGCTGAGAGGATGAAGAAGGGCATGAATAAGAAAGATCAATGTGAACGAAGACCTAGAGGCAGGAGGAATGTGGGTGCCCTGGGAGGTTATCAGGTGACATATCTAACTGGAGATTCAGATGGGGGGTGGGTTTAGGTGGCAGGCAATAGAAGATCTCAGTGGCCAGGCTGAGGAGAGGACCACCATGATGTGAGAAGCTCCAGCCACCTCCATCTGCACATTGGCCCTTTATTTAAGAAGCAACTAATCAGACCCAGGGTTTCTGTGAGCGAAGAGGGCAGTGATGAAGAAAGGCGGCAGACCTCCGACTTCTTGCCTCTCCCTGTGCCCTTCATCCCCCTGAGTAGGTGAGCAATAGCTGTGAGAAAACCCTCCTCGGTGCCTTGTGATCATGTGAGCCTTGACTTGTCTGTCCTGTTCCAGCTGTCACCTGCCCTCCAAACAGCCATTATGAGAGCTGCGTGAGTGTCTGCCAGCCCCGCTGCGCCGCCATCCGCCTGAAGAGTGACTGCAGCCACTACTGCGTGGAGGGCTGTCAGTGCGACGCTGGCTACGTCCTCAACGGCAAGAGCTGCATCCTGCCCCACAGCTGCGGCTGCTACTCCGATGGCAAATATTACGAGGTATGGGAGGCCAGCCTGGCGTTTTCCTCCTTGCCAATGATCAGATTCCTCTCTAACTCTAAGAGGTTGGTCAGATTGACCAATTTTCCCACTTCATTATGAAGAGCGTCATGTTCAAGGCAGGGGAGTGGGATGGGGTGTAGAGAGGCTAAGCACACTGTTCAGATGATGCTCTTGGGCACTGAGTGTCAGATCTGGAAAAGCACCTCAGTGTCTCCCTTCTCCCTCCTCCACATTGGCAAGGTCTCCGGCACTCTGCCTCCCCTACTCACTCACATTTGTGTGTCTCTGTCGTGCCTTTCTCTGTTTTCTGTCCTGTAAATCCCAGTTTGAAAGCTTCAGATACAGCTATAGTTTGGAAATATGGTGGCTGTGAATCTGACATTTGTAGCCGTCTTAGCTAAGGACATTTGTCACTGGAAAATATGGACCTGGAGGCTGAGTGGGGCGGCCTTCCCTCTTCTGGCTGTTGAGGCTCCGTGAGGGTAGCTGTGGCTGCCATCTCCACGTGTGCCATTTGTCACTCTGGATCATCCCCAGAGTTTGGTCCGGACTGCTAATGTGGTGCCCCCACATCCCACCCTCTGCGGCGCCCCCTACAGGGGTTTAAACATAGAGTTTATGAAGATGCCCTTCGCAGATGTTTCTCAATAAAACATATTAGTTCATGAAATCATTTCACTTTTTGGACTTTGTAATCTTTCCATAATACTAAGCTAGAATTCCATAATACTAAGCTAGAAAAGCTCTTGAATAGATAAGGTATTTAGTTCTTGGTTCGACCTCAAGCCCATTCTCTATTTAAATGACATCGAAACTGTATGTTGGCAAGTTAGATGGTTAACAACTACGACTAATTGAGTATCTGCTGTTTGCAAAGCACTGTGTTGGTGGCATTGGGGGGGATGAGAAAGCATGTCCCCTGCCTTGAGGATCTTAAAAATCTATTCAGAAGAGAGAAACAATGTATGTTAAAGAACAGGAGAACAGTTACAAAATAACCTATCAGCAAGTGAAAAATAATACCCTACAGAACTAATCAATTTTAAGTGAAAAAGAATAGTAGCATTTAAAATAAATCTAACTGAAATGTCTGAATTGGAAATCAACTAGGCGAAAAATAAATAGTAACTCCTTTTTGTAAAGATACATTGACTCATTCAAGTTGCCCTAACTTTGGGGATAAATAAAAGAAATGTGGAAGTGACCCTCAATTTCACTTTCAGTGGAAAATGTATTTAAATGCTATATTAGAAAGACAGGGAGGAAGTAGGTAAAATAGTGGAACTAATCAAAGGAGACTTTTTGGGAGAGGGGGTGTTGAAATGAGCTCTTAGAAATATTATTTGAAAAGAAAAGGTAGAACAGGTGGAAAAAATTAATGAATTCTATTTTCTCACAGTTGAGGAGAAGATATAATCAGGCTCAAAACTCAAAAAGTACTCCATAAACTGTGTTCCCCAGCCCGGAGACTTACCAAAACCTATCCATCTATCAACTGTGCAATGCACCCTCAGCAGGCATCCTGAGTGTCAGTGTGGCATAATTCAATGAAACCTGGGTTCGATCCTAGCAGTACCACCGCTGGAGGTGTGACACTGAGCAAACGCTGTCATTTCTCTGAGCGTCTGTTTCCCTGTGAATGAAATGTGACTAATGATACCAACCCAGTAGGGCTGTTGGATAATCTATGCTGGGTTCCTAGCCTAGTGCCTGGCATCGAGTCCTTCAATAATTGGGAGCTGCTATTGTTATTGTTGTTTTGTTATTCTCTTGAGAAACATTTTGTAAACGAAAAATCCAGGCGTGTTAATGAAAGGATGCAAATCAAAGCCCTTGGAACTCTCAGGAAAAGCATGGTCAGCTCTTGGCTGCTCTTAGTACTACAGTGTAAACATTATGAACAGTTTTTCATCAGAACCTCCGTGGATTTTGACAACAGCTTACATCTGGGAAGCAGGAAACTCAGAGAACAAAGAATCCACATCTACTTGCCACCATTCCAAAGCACTTGGGGGCTTGTTCATAGAATAAATTTCTTTGGAAATGAATAGAGACTATGCCTGGCTATTAGCATGTAGAGTGATCACCCAGCTGTCATTGTCATGTGTGATTAAGGTGAATAAAGCAGCTTTGGGCCAGCCACTTTACTGTGATGCTCGTTTCAGGATCAGATTCTCTTGTGGATGAATTATTTACCCTTTATCATATCCACATACATCAAGTTATTTTTCTCTTTTCACCACTGTAATGTCTGACTTCTTATCAGGGAGAGGCCAAACCATCCACTCAGTTATTCTATAAATCTGATAAGAGAAATGAAGTCAATTTGTGAGGCTGTTGGCACCCAGAATATGTTATGTAAGTCTGGAAGGAGAGTAGACTTAGTTCCAGCAATGACTTCACTTTGAGGATGAAAGAATCAGCAATAGCATCTTGAAGTGCACTGCAATCAGGAAGGTTGTTCTGGAAGATCTTCTCCTCTATCTATTTACCCTTGAATCTAAGTCATATCTGTAGCTGATATCCAGGGTTTTGATGTCTCTAGTTAAAGCAGAAAACTGACCAGACAGAAACATAGGCCTTTTTGTGCTGTTGAAAGATCTTTTCTGGATAACACTATTTTGGTAAGTTGATAATGCATTGAGTGCCCACATCTCTATGACACATTCTATTTGTTGGTACCACCTCCCACTTGGACAATCATGACCAATTTCCAACAGTTTCCTGGAATTCTTAGTCTAGAGCAAGTGCAACATCAAGAATGCAAACCTTACCAAGCAGAGTCGTGCCTGCAGATTGCCGCCTGTTTTGGGAAAAGTAGAAAATAACATTCTAGTTGTGGGACTCCTGGGAAAGAAAAGAAAAGAAAAGAATAGCTGCCTCCAGTTGAGGATACGCTATGTTGTAGGTATTTTATATAATGTTGCATAATTTCTTCACCATCTGAAAGACGATGAGCTGTTCTACTCCTGTAATAGCAGCTTCTATTTATTGAGTGCCTACCCTATGCCAGGAAGTGTGTTTTATACATCTTATTTAAGTTAGTGCTTACAACTGCCCTGTAAGACATTATTTTAAATTTCATTTTATTATTATTACTTCTGAGATAGGGTCTCTCTCTGTTGCTCAGGCTGGAGTGCAGCAGCAGGATCACAACTCACTGCAGCCTCTACCTCCCAGGCTTAAGCGATCCTCCCACCTCAGCCTCTGGAGTAGCTGGGACTACAGACATGCACCACCATGCTGGTTATTATTACCATTATTATTATTACTATTATTTTGAGACAGAATTTCGCTCTGTCGCCCAGGCTAGAGTGCAATGGCACAATCTCAGCTGACTGCAACCCCTGCCTCCCAGGTTCAAGCGATTCTCCTGCCTCAGCCTCCCAAGCAGCTGGGACTGTAGACATGTGCCACCATGCCTGGCTAATTTTTGCATTTTTAGTAGAGACGGGGTTTCACCATGTTGGCCAGGCTGGTCTCGAACTCCTGACCTCAGGTGATCCACCCATCTCAGCCTCCTAAAGTGATGGAATTACAGGCATGAACCACTGTACCCGGCCTATTATCATTATTATTATTATTATTTTAAGTAGAGATGAGGTTTCATTGTGCTGCTCAGGTTTGTCTCAAACTCCTGGGCTCAAGCAGTCCTTCTACCTCGACCTCCCAAAGTACTGGGATTACAGGCATGAGCCACTGCACTCAACCACAGGATACTATTAATATCTCCAATTTAGAAATGAGCAAAGTCACACTGGGGAGGTGAGTAATGTTACGCAAGATGGCACAGGCGGGGATACAGGACTAGATTGAAACCCAGGTGGTCTGATCCCAAAACGTTCCTTTCATGGACCCCGGGTGTTCTCCAGATCTCTCACATTCAGGACACATGGGAATGAAGGTACTTCCAACAGAAGTAAGTTGGAAGCAGACGAGACACAAGGAAGGGTGAGGATTGTGAAATGTGAAATGGTTAATCAGAAGTGCTGGTCATTGCTTTCTTACGACTGTTTAAGGTTTGAAGGGCTAATTTATCATTCTTAAGTGAATTTTAATTTCATCTTTGAAGCAGAGTCTGTACTTGTCAGAAGTGTGATTCCTTGATGAATATTTTCTACCAAATATTCTTCCTCTTTACCTAGTTCCTCTAACAGCTACACATTCAGGTTAACTGTGATTAGTTCTACAACCCAGCCACAAAGATTTCAGAGTTCTTTATTAAAATCAATCAAGTTATGGCTGGGGTGGCGGCTCACACCGGTAATCCAAGCAGTTTGGGAGGCTGAGGCAGGAGGATCGCTCGAGCCCAGCAGTTCAAGAACATAGTGAGACACCGTCTCTACAAAAAATACAAAAATTGGCTGGGTGTGGTGGCGTGTGCCTATAGTTCCAGCTACTAGGGAAGCTGAGATAGGAGAATAGCTTGAGTCCAGGCATTCCAGGTTACTTACAGTGATCTGCGATTGCGCCAGTGCACTCCAGCCTGGGCAACAGAATGAGACCCTGTCTCTAAGAATAAATACATAAGTAAATAAGTAAATGTCAAAACTGCATATTGTTTGGCGTCTGAGTTGCATGCAACTGATGGAGCCTTTGAGTTGAGACCGTTTCCCCACTGCTGCCTCCTACAAATTCCAGCCCTGTTAAAGATAGGCTAGCCCAGCTGATAAAAGACCCGGGGGACTGGACTTTGGGGTCTCCAGCCCTGACCGCAGTCTGAATTTAATGCAAACGGCGCCTCTCTTCCAGCCCAAGCAGCTGTTCTGGAACAGCGACTGCACGCGACGCTGCCGCTGTTTCCGTCGCAACCTGATCCAGTGCGACCCGCGCCAGTGCAAGTCCGACGAGGAGTGCGCGCTGCGCAACGGGGTGCGTGGCTGCTTCAGCACCAAGACCTCCTACTGCCTGGCGGCCGGCGGCGGCGTCTTCCGCACCTTCGACGGCGCCTTCCTCCGCTTCCCGGCCAACTGCGCCTTCGTGCTGTCCACCATCTGCCAGAAACTGCCCGACATCTCCTTCCAGCTTATCATCAACTTCGACAAGTGGTCAGCCCCCAACCTCACCATCATTTCGCCCGTCTACTTCTACATTAACGAAGAGCAGATTCTCATCAGCGACCGGAACACGGTCAAGGTGACCAGTCTGGTGTCCATTCTTAAGAAGGGGCCCGGAAACAAGGGGTTGGCTGGGGGATTGTGTAGGGTTCTCCCAGATAGCCAAGTTGTGGGTTCCACACACAGTGACCAGGTTTTAAAGAAACAAAGTATGAAGATGCTTTAAGCATAAGAATGGACACCATTTGGTTCTTGGCTGATGAGTCCAAAGGCAGGAGACGTGCGGGGTCTCAGAGCCAGGCAATGGCATGGGTGCTAACAGAGCTTCAGGTGATAAATTGTTAGATAAATCAGTTTTTACTCTGATTACTTTCCAAAATGCATCTCATTTGTTTTTAACAGCCCTTAAGATTATTTTTGGCTCTGCCCTCTTGTAGTCAGACCCACCCTTCATCTTTGCCATCCTTTCTATAAGCTAAGAGAAAGCAAGCATTTGCCTACAAAACACTAATCTGAGTAAAAACCTGACGCGCACCTCCTTTGTCCAAGGGCCCCGTGATGACCCGCCGGGGGGCAGGAAATGGGAGGCTGCACTTGGTGGATTTCTCTTAGGTTGGCTCCTCCTTAGGCCCACTGCCTGGTTTCTTGTTTATCTTACACCTGTGTGTAAATAAATGTAAACCCCCCACCCACCCGCACAACAAATATGGCTCTCTACTTGAATTCCTCCCACCCTTTCCTTTTAAGAAGATCACCTGCTCAGATGCCCTGTTGACGGTGACCCAGCCTCTCAGCCAGAGCAGGCTGCTGCTGCCGGTCGCCTGGAAGGATGGAGCCAGGCCCCAGCACTGTGAGCACAGGGAGGGAGGGACCCAGAGACAGCCACATTACCACTTTTTGGAATTGAGTGTTATTGCGTGTATCTGTTTTCCACCTGCTCAGATAATCAGGCCTTGAGTGTATCTTTAATTGAAGAGTCATCAAATAGCATAGTATCAAGCATCAGGCAAAAGACCAGCAGTATTTTGTGAGCTTAAAATGAAGAATCTGAAATTTAATACCGGTTTTAACTTCAGTGAAAGGTGCCACTGTTTTTGACATTCTCATTCCTTTTACAAATTGGCCCACATCAACACGACAGCGTTGGTCCAGAATCCAGGAGCTAGAAAATGAAAATGACCACCCGAGAGAGAAAAACTGACATTGTGGCTGAACAAAATACCCAAGCTAGTCAAAACAGTAGAGACTCATTTTTTAAAAAGGTGTCTGTTTTTTATTTTTTTATTTTAAGGTACAAAAGCTACTAATAGCCTGGGGAGAAAATTTTTATTTTGTAAGTACAGGAAAAGCGTGTTATATTCTGTCCCAAGGGCTACGGAAAGAAAATGTTAGAAAGCAGGAAAATGACAAATGCAGAAAATAATGTGCCTATAGGTCCTCTGGGGGGACCTCCAGTTTGAACATGATAAGCAAGAAAACGATAAACATGGCAATGATGCCCAGATCCATTTTAACTGTGTTAGACTCTCGTTGGCACAGGATTGGGATTTCATTTTCAGTAATTGGCTTATGCTGGGGAAAGTTTTAGACACAAATCCAGCCATTCATTGTGGGTTTTACTTTTCTAAGATTTTCTTATCTCTCACCTCCTCTCCCCTACTTCTGTTCTGTAGTTTGCTTCCTTTGGGGCAACTACACAGTAAGATGAGTGAATGCCTTTAAACTCTAGGGCAGGGGCCGGCAAATCTGCTTGCTGCCTGTTTGTGTAAATAAAGCTTTGCTGGAACACAGCCACACTCATTTAGTTGTGTATTGTCTATGGTTGCTGTCATGCTGCAGGGACAGAGTGGAGTCGTTGAGACAGAGATCACAGGGCCTGCGATGCCCAAAATATTTTCCCTGGCCCTTTCCTGAACAAGTTTGGCAACCCCTGCTCTAAGCGTAATTATTTTCTGTTTTCCTCCTCCTGTAGGTGAATGGCACACAAGTGAATGTTCCATTTATAACTGGTTTGGCAACGAAAATCTACAGCAGTGAGGGGTTTCTGGTGATTGACACCAGCCCAGACATCCAGATATACTACAATGGTTTCAACGTCATTAAAATCAGCATCAGCGAGAGGCTGCAGAACAAAGTGTGTGGTCTCTGTGGCAACTTCAATGGGGACCTAACAGATGATTATGTGACTTTGCGAGGGAAGCCGGTGGTAAGCAGCGTGGTGCTGGCCCAGAGCTGGAAAACCAATGGCATGCAGAAGAGGTGAGGGTGTAGGAGTTCAAGCCACTAAACTTGGTGGCCCAGGTTCTCTCACATCCATGGGTGGTGTGAATGAGGAATGCACTTTCCTTAGCACTGCCCCTGCTCTCCTACAGAGATGAACCAAAGCTCTTTGGAGTTTTGATGCTAAAACTAGGCACATCAGAGACCCCAGTAATTTTGTGAACTACAGAGGAAGGAGTTGGGCTTAGATGATATAACTCTAATTTTCAGGTCATCCAGCCCTTGGCTAAACAGAAGAGTGTGCCCAGGATGAGAACTCTGAAGCCTTGACCAGCTGCCCACCCGGGACCTAGGCACCCCTGCTGGGTGTGGAATTAAGAGTTGACTCAGAAGAAGAAGGGCTATCTTTGACTCCCTTAGTGCTGGGTCTAATTGTGTGTCCTTGCCTCTTACAAGAAGGCTTGACTATGGTTGTGTAGGTAGAAGTTGGTGGGAATCAGGAAAGCCTTTTTTAAAAACAGAAGTTACAAGGTTATTATCAGGCCCACCCCTGGCCAGCAAAGAGAGAGTAAGCTACAGAAGTTATTCCAAGGCCAGGCGCAGTGGCTCAAGCCTGTAATCCCAGCACTTTGGGAGGCTGAGACGGGCGGATCACGAGGTCAGGAGATCGAGACCACGTGAAACCCCGTCTCTACTAAAAAAAAATACAAAACACTAGCCAGGCGTGGTAGTGGGCGCCTGTAGTCCCAGCTACTCGGGAGGCTGAGGCAGGAGAATGGCGTGAACCCGGGAGGCGGAGCTTGCAGTGAGCTGAGATCTGGCCACTGCACTCCAGCCTGGGCGACAGAGTGAGACTCCGTCTCAAAAAAAAAAAAAAAAAAAAAGTTATTCCAAAGGTTTTAAATTTAGGGCCACTCAGGGCTGCTGAGTATGTGGATACCTTTCTGGATCTGTATGTAGATATGCTTCTCTTTCTTGTTAGTTCTGCTTGTACAATGGCTCAATCATGTTGCTTTACATGCTAAATATCAGCTAAATCCCTAGTCTTGGAAATCACACTTTAAGCCTCTTTAACCCTGCCCCGAGTGCACAGTGAACAATGTATCATATATTAGACTATCCTGTGAATTATGGGACTCAGAGCTGTGAAAATCCTTGGGCAGTATCTTGTCCAGTCTCTTCCTTTCCTAGGTAAAACAGAGACTAAGACAGAGAATGACTTACGTGAGGAGGCCCCATATATGGCAAAGCCAGGACGAGATTCCAGGATTCCTAATTTGGTGCTTACTCTAGAATGCTATGCATTGACCCACAGATAGAAAAGAGAGAACTTTGGACATTATATTTAGAACACTACTTTAAGCCACTGTAGCGTTTCCAAAGATAGGCAAGGTTCAGCTCCTCCTGAGGAATTATGATTCTGTTTGAATTTGGCCGGCCTGCCTCCCTCCCTCCTCCCTCCCTCCTTCCCTCTCTCTTTCCCTTCCTTCCCCTTTCCCTTCCCTTCCCTTCCCTTCCCTTCCCTTCCCTTCCCTTCCCTTTCCTTTCCTTCCCTTCCCTTTCCTCCCCTCCCCTCCCCTTCCCCTCCTGCTCCTCCTCCTCACCAGTCCCCTCCCCTCCCCTCCCCTCCTCTTCATTTTAAAATAAACTGTTATCAGCTGGACACCGACTTTCTTGTAATGTTTTGCTTTTGGTCCCTAATGGCTAAAGTGGAACTGGCTTAGAAGGCTTCCTTTCAAATCTTTAATTCTGCCAAGTATCATTACTATTATCATTGTTATTAGTTATTATATCCATACCTGTTAATGGTTATTATATCAATTGTATCAATCATATCAATCAATTATGCCAAAGTGTTCGTGGTTACTATATCAATATCTGCCTTTCGTGTGGCACTTTGGCCACTAATCCATCATTCCATTTTACCCTCACTGTATTTCAGTGATATAAACAACAGGAATTACCGTTTCACTTTCTTAGATGGATAGAATAGAGACCAGTAGTATCTGACTTGCCGAAGGTCACAAAGCTAATTAGTGTTGGAATTGGCACAGTGCACTAGCTTCAGGGGTAGCAAAACAGGTACAGATGCTATTTACCTTCCATTGAAGATCTCAGATGGCTGTTTCTGCTTCACTCAGTCTGACCAGACCTCTTGCCCCCAGCTGCAACGAGCTGCAGTTCTCCCAGTATGCAGCCATGTGTGACAATGTGCACATCCAGAAGATGCAGGGTGACGGCTACTGCCTGAAGCTCACCGACATGAAGGGCTTCTTCCAGCCCTGCTATGGGCTTCTCGATCCCCTCCCATTCTACGAGTCCTGCTACCTGGACGGCTGCTACAACCACAAGAAGTTCCAGCTATGCGGCTCCCTGGCCGCCTATGGGGAGGCCTGCCGCTCCTTCGGGATCCTCAGCACCGAATGGATTGAGAAGGAGAATTGCTGTAAGAGAATTATTTTATTTCTGTGGATTCCATTTTCAGTGAAAAGAACAGCTTTGCAGGTAGCATTGCTTTTTCTAGGGATGACTGGTCCTCTCCAGATTTACTCATAGATCTGCTTCCAGGATTGGATAGTAGACAGCTGTGAGCTGCAGCCGAGATTCAGTGACAGGCCCCTCGCATGGAGCCTAACCCACCTATGGTTCCAGTCCAGCTATGGAATTTGGAAAACAAACGTGGGAAGATGGGGCTCTCTGGGTTGGAAGAGCCCTGGTTTAGTGGCTTATGAGGTAGAGGGACATAGTGTGGGATTCCCGATGGATTTTAGTTCCCAAACTCATCTCCACCTTGGCTTCTTTGGCATGAGGCCATCCTCTATCAGAAAGCGAAGGCAAGAGCCGGTGGAAGGCAGAGGTGGAACTGAGCTGGTTATGTCCACCTGGGCTGAAAGGAAGCTGCAGTTGGATTGACTGTGGAGATTACATATATTAGATCAGCTGGTAAAAGAAAAAAGATAAACAGAATCTTGTGGGGTTTTTTTCTGTTGTAAGAAAATTATTTTGATGTGTATTCTATCATTCAATTTGTTCATTTTCCTACTGTGTTAATCAAATAGGGGAGCCATTATAGATGTATACACACACATGTAAACGTGCCATAGACATACATGTGTGTCCATATACGTAAATGGTCACTCCCACTGGTGTGGCCAATAGAATGTGTGTTTTGTGCTCTGACCCACAACACCAACCCGGTGTGTATATAGGTACCACTGTGAAAACAGGCTGACTCCAAGACGATACATACACGTTGGTAAATTTGCAGACCAAACTGGATCAAGTGTAGGAATACACTTTAATTCAGAGCCTAAAAACAATGCAGTTAATTAAAATACATTTCAGTGATTTCAGAAACTGTTAAGCAAATTACTAGTCTCTGTTGGAAACTAACAAAAATATTTGTTAATATTTTACTCTGCTGTGTTCATAAGAATACTTTCAATGACTTTAAAAATTAACTGTTTTGAACTTTTCAAATTGTCAGGAATTTTAAAAAATACATATATAATTCAAAAAATACTCAAAGCTTCCATCTGTCTAAGGGCATGTTTGATCTGCCAGTTGGCAGATGGACCACCACATTTGTAAATAAACGTTTCCTTCTTGTGGACTGTAACCTCTGCTCCATGTTTCTGTTATTCTGTTTGTCATTCTCATGCCGAGTCGGTCAATCATAACATTCGCTTGGTGGCTGCCATGTGCTTAGCACTGTGCTAGGTACTGGATATACTGGGCCAGTGAAAGGATCTTTATAAAAAGCAGCCTTTTGAAAATAAATATATTTAACTTATGCTGATGGCATTCTTTCAGTTGTCCTTCCAGAAATTAAGACAGGCTTATGCTGAGCCATCCATGCACTCCTACCTAATGTAATTAGTTACCTACCAGAGGGGCATGGCAGCTGAGTCAGAAGAGGTGTATGGAGCTGTGGGCAGCCTGGGACTTTTGTTTTGTTTTTAAACTCTTTTTTTCCCTGTGTGTGGGGGTATGTGTGTCTGTGGTGAGAACATGAAACTCTAGGCTGGTTGGTAATTTTCAAGTGTACAGTGTATTGGTACTAACTATAGCCACTTTGATGTACAGTAGATCGCTTGGATTTATTCCTCTTGTCTAAATGAAATTTTGCATCCTTTAAAAACTCTTTTTTAAAAAACTCTTGAAGCCAACTTGGCTCATGCTGGGATTGAACAGTTGTTTCTTTAGCACTGTCCATCATATACCATCATGAACAGGAGGAATATTCTGTCTTGATAGGCAGAGCGATTCTTTAAATAAAGAAATGAACTTCTAAAAGAAAATGCTCCTAATTAGTGGTTCTCAAACTGAGGCGTTGACTATCTTGCAGGTGATCTCATCTGTTACAGAAATATTGTTCATAAGAACATGATGATGATACTCCACATAACATCTTTATTTTACTTACAGTTTTACCCTTTTGGCAAAACAGCACCATGAATCTAAGTCAATGCTGGTGAGCTGTGTGGAGGTTTTTCCTTTGTCTATTTTTACAAAATCAAGTAGCAGATCACGGGGGAAAGTGAACCAAGAATCAGAAAGGAGTTAGAAGCCCTGGTGTGGGAGACCTCTCTGGGATCTTACTGGCCCTAATATGTTCATTATTGACACATATTTATTGTGCACCAACCATGAGGTGGTTGAATGCTGGGATGTAGAGATAAATGATTTGGATGCTACTCTTTATATAAATATCAGTGCAAATCGTTGTGCTATAGTGTAGTGGGTGCCTTAATCGTGGTAAGATTACTGGGGTTAAGAGCATCTGTGCATTCAGTCTTCACCACTTACCTTCGCTTTTGACCTTGGGCAAGTTTCAGCTGTGAAATAGAGCTTATAATATTTAGCCTTGAGGAGTATTTGCGAGGGTCAAAGAAGCTAATCCAGGCCCATAGCAGGCACCTATTTGCTAGCTATTGACATTATTTTCTGGAAGGTTGCCCTGTCTGTTAACCTGCAGCTGCCATCTGACCATTTCCAATGTGATTAAAGAGGCAAGTCTGGAGTGGAACCAAATGCTACCGCATGTAGGTGTGAAAATCAAGTTGTGCATGTTTCTGTGTGTTTTTCTTTTTAGCAGGAGTGGTTGAAGATCCCTGTGTGGGGGCGGACTGTCCCAACCGAACCTGCGAGCTGGGCAATGGCAGGGAGCTGTGTGGCTGCATCGAGCCGCCCCCCTATGGAAACAGTGAGTGACACGGGCCACCTCCCCACCCAGAAAGGCCCCGTGGGAGATGCTGCTCTGGGGAGGGACCTTGATGCATCCCACTTTGTGAAGCTTTCCCAAACAGTGAAGCTTTCAGGAGCATTTAAGCAGAACAAGGAAGCAATCTGACTGCTTCAAAGTACAGCTACATCCTTTTCCTCAATACATTGTAACGCACACATTTGTACATGAATAGAACCAGCCATTCCCATCTGAGGCCACGTTCAACATCAGAAAGGTCCAAATTGATCTTTTAGATGCACAAGGAAATAGGGTATTTTGATGTCAATATGAAATAATTAGGATGAATGTTATTTAAAGCCAGATTTATTTGGCCCAAAGCTTTTTGGTCCCGAAGATATGTACAACTGAAATGTCTGAAGCAAGCCATAAATAACTAGGACTCCAGGACTTGTTCCTAACTGTAGCTCCCTTGGTGTGGAACTGGCCTTGTCCACTGCCAAGCCTGCCTGGATGGCAGCTTGAAGCGGAGCTGCTTTGCCTTCCATCTCTGCTCCCCTTCCTGAACCAAGTAACGCAGAGGCAGCTGCTAAATTTAACAGCATTGGAGAATGAAAATCTGGTTGACCAAAGGCTCCTTAGGAGGGGACAAGGGCTTCACCTAAACAGATAAAAATGTTTTTCTCTGTTTCTATAGTGCTTATTAGCTGGTATTTACATGCTCAAGAGAAAATGTCAATTGGTGCATTGCCATGTCAAAAAACAAGCTCCTAGTGCTCACCTGGGAATTGCTAGGGTTCTGCCAAGCTGAATCAGCAGGGGCTTCGGATGTGGCCTGGCCAGTGCTGCTGTCCCTGAGAGGCACGCTTTTCAGCCAGGCCACAATGTGCCAGATTTGGTATGTTCAGTATGTAGCTTACAGAAAAGTAGCTGCCACCAGCAAGGTGGGGGAAGACATGTTTTTGTAAAGAAAAGACAGAAGACACTTTATTAGCATTTTAATCTTTTTAAAAAGGCTCTGCTAATGCCCAAGTTAGTGCTTTGAATGAATTCATATGCTCGCTTGGTCTGATCAAAGCCTAATTAGAAATGCTGCAGTCTTTGAGTGGAGATCATTTGCCTCTTCTAAAGGAGAATGGTAATGAGATGCTTTGCTCCCACTCCTGCAGCAAGACCGACTCCACTGATTTACCTTTCGTAATAACTGTTCCCACAGACTCACATGACATTATCGATGCAGAGGTGACCTGCAAAGCATCCCAGATGGAAGTGTCCATATCTAAGTGCAAACTCTTCCAGCTCGGTTTTGAGAGGGAGGGCGTGAGGATCAATGACAGACAGTGTACCGGCATCGAGGGGGAAGATTTTATCTCCTTTCAGATCAACAACACCAAAGGGAATTGTGGAAACATTGTGCAGGTGAGAAAAGCAGCAGGAAAGAGCACCTGGCAGAGGCAGCGACAGCTTCGAGTGTTTGCACATTTATTGTCCCGAAAGCCAACTTCAGGATGATCTGCTTAGAAATATGCGCCTTGGAAAACAGCAATAGGCATGTGTAAAATGAAAGACAGCAAGAGCAGTCGTCATTTCATGCTAAGTGGTTGACGGAGTTGAAAGAGTGATGTGTTTTTTCCTTGGTTTGGGATGCCTACTGTGGTTCTTTGTCTTGTATATGGATAGAATTGTGTCTTTTATGCTTCTATTGTTCTTTGAGGCAAATACATCTAGGCTTAGCTATTTCAGGGGGTAAGGGAGTCCCAAACCTCATTTAACAGGTGGCTTCAGGCCGAGTGCTATGGCTCATGCCTGTAATCCCAGTGTGTCTGGAATTGGTGGGTTCTTGGTCTCGCTAACTTCAAGAATGAAGCCGCGGACCCTTGCGGTGAGTGTTACAGTTCTTAAAGATGGTGTGTCTGGAGTTTGTTCCTTCAGACATTCAGATGTGTTTGAAGCTTCTTCCTTCTGGTGGGTTCCTGGTCTCGCTGGCTTCAGGACTGAAGCTGCAGACCTTTGCAGTGAGGGTTACAGCTCTTAAAGGCAGTGTGGACCCAAAGAGTGAGTAGCAGCAAGATTTGTTGTAAAGAGCGAAAATAAAGCTTCCACAGTGCGGAAGGGGACCCGAGTGGGTTGCCACTGGCTGGCTCCAACACCCTGCTTTTCTTCCCTTATCTGGCCCCACCCACATCCTGCTGATTGGTCCATTTTACAGAGAGCTCATTGGTCCATTTTGACAGGGTGCTGATTGGTGCATTTACAATCCCTGAGGTAGACACAGAGTGCTAGACAGAAAAGTTCTCCAAGTCCCCACTAGGTTAGCTAGATACAGAGTATCAATTGGTGTATTTTCAAACCTTGAGCTAGACAGAGTGCTGATTGGTTTGTTTATGATCCCTTAGCTAGACATAAAAGTTCTCCAAGTCCCCACTAGGTTAGCTAGATACAGAGTGCTGACCAGTGTATTTACAAACCCTGAGCTAGACATGGAGTACTGATCGGTGCATTTACAATCCTCTAGCTAGACACAGAGTGCTAGACAGAAAAGTTCTCCAAGTCCCCACTAGGTTACCTAGATACAGAGTACTGATTAGTGTATTTACAAACCCTGAGCTAGACACAGAGTGCTGATTGGTGCATTTATGATCCCTTAGCTAGACATAAAGGTTTTCCAAGTCCCCGCTAGACTCAGGAACCCAGCTGGCTTCACCTAGTGCTGTAGGCAGAGCTGCCCGCCAGTCCTGAGGGGCACCTGCACTCCTCAGCCCTTGGGTGGTCGATGGGACCAGGCACTATGGAGCAGAGGGTGGAGCCCATTGGGGAGGTTTGGGCCCCATGGGAGCCCACCATGGAGGGTGGGGCTCGGACATCGCAGGCTGCAGGTCCTGAGCCCTGCCCCACAGGGAGGTGGCTGAGGCCTGGGGAGAATTCCAGAGTGGTGCATGTGGGCCAGCAGTGCTGGGAAACCTGGCACAGCCTCTGCAGCTGCTGGCCAGGGTGCTAAGCCCCTCACTACCCTGGGCTGGCGCTGGCCTGTGAGCGCTGGACACAGCCCCAGTTCCTGCCTGCGCCTCTCCCTCCACACCTCCCTGCAAGCAGAGGGAGCCGGCTCTGGCCTCGGCCAGCCCAGAGAGGGGCTCCCACAGTGCAGTGGCGGGGTGAAGGGCTCCTCAAGTGCTGCCAGAGTGGACACTGAGGCCGAGGAGGTGCCAAGAGTGAGGGCTGCCAGCACATTGTCACCTCTCACCAGTACCTTGGGAGGCCAAAGCAGAAGGACTGCAAGAGGCCAGAAATTCAGGACGAGCCCAGGCAACATCACAAGACCCTGTCTCTATTTAAAAAAAAAAAAAAAATCTAAAAATTAGCTGGCTGTGGTGACAGTGCCTGTAGTTGTGTCTGCTTGGAAGGCTGACATGGGAGGATCTCAAGCCCAGGAGTTCAAGGCTGCAGTGAGCTATGATTGCACCACTGCACTCCAGCCTGGGTGACAGTGAGACCCTGTCACTAAAAACAAAACAAAACAAAACAAAAAACAGCTGACTTCAGAAATATAGTAAGGTCCCAACTTTTAATGTCAGATTGTGCAATGTATAGGTTAGCAAAGCATCTTGTTTCTCTTCTTTTTCTGCCTTGCTGTGTGTCTTCTATTCATGGCTCTATTTCTTAATACTTTTACCAGAGGTTGAAAGGAGTAAGGAGGTGAAACTTGCACTTGTTCATGTTGGTCCTTGTAGGGATGTCTGGTGATGGATTTGGTGGAGAAGAGATTTTGAATTAAGCATTGAAAAAGAAGATTTCTGTTACTCAGCAATGGCAATAGTTCATGCTATTCCTAGCTTGGGGTCTCACAGATAAGTGGGGTCTGGTAGTGGTTAGAATTCAGTAGTGGATGAAATCACCTTCCACGGGTATTCAAGGTTAGCAGACTGAAGGGTGCTGCTGATACCTATTGTAATACTTTTTTGCCCCAAGTAAATGCTAAGGCTAGCTCCATGCTGCTTTATACTGGCCTCTAAGTTATGTATGGAAGGAAGCCATTTCTCCACTTTCAGGGATATGGATTTGATATGCAAGCTACATACTCACTCCCAGATGTAATGATTTCTGACTTCCCCTTGCTCTGCAGTCCAATGGCACTCATATCATGTATAAAAACACAATCTGGATCGAAAGTGCCAACAACACTGGCAACATCATCACCAGGGACCGCACGATCAATGTGGAATTTTCATGTGCTTATGAGCTGGATATCAAGATCTCCTTGGATTCTGTTGTGAAGCCTATGCTAAGGTAAGGCACCTCCTGGGCTGTGCACATTGCTTTTTCTTTTCCTTGACAGTTAAGGTTAGCATAATCAAAATTGCTAGCATTTGTCTTTGATGCCCTAGGAAAAACATAATTCACGTTTCTTGAGCCTAAAACCTTTCAATCAGCATTGTTCAATAGAACTCTCTGTGATGATGGAAATGTTCCATCTGTACTGTTTAATGTGGTGGCTGCGTGTGGCTGCTCAGCACTTGAAATGTGGCTCAGGGGGCTGCGAATTGAATTTTTAATTTTATTTAATTTTATTTCATTTAAATGTAAATTGCCCCATGTGGCTAGCAGGTACTATATTGGACAGCACAGCCTTAGACTTTGCTACTACATGTTTTGCTTTCCCTCTGCATTCTCAGCTTGAAAAATGGTAGATAATTGAACAGGTAACATTGTTTTAGGTTCCTGTCTCATAATTGTTTCCGTTTTAGTGTAATTAACCTGACAGTTCCAACCCAAGAAGGCAGCTTCACCACCAAGATGGCTCTCTACAAAAATGCCTCCTACAAACATCCTTACCGGCAGGGTGAAGTAGTGTTGACGACTCGAGATGTGCTGTATGTAGGGGTTTTTGTGGTTGGAGCTGACGCCACACATTTAATCCTAACGCTCAACAAATGCTATGCCACACCCTCCCGAGACAGCAATGATAAGCTCCGATATTTCATCATCGAAGGAGGGTGAGTAACCTCTTTATAGACAACAGTCTCAGAGCTTCAGGTATAATATTGTCTGCATCATTTTTTGAGGAAGGGAATGGAAACTAATATTTGTTGGCTGCCTATGAGGCCAGCATTTTGCATTTATTAATTCATCTAATTCTCAAGGCAACCTATGAGGTAGATATTATAAGCTTCATTTTACAGACAATCAAGTAACTTGCCTAAAGTCACACAGAAATATAGTGGTAGGTACCCCAAGTCCATGTGGCTATTGTGAATAGTGCTGCAATAAACATAGAAGTGTAGAAATATTCTTTGGATATACTAATTTCCTTTCTTTTGGATAAATACCCAGTAGTGGCCTTGCTGGATCGTGTGGTAGTTCTATTTTTAGTGGTTTTTTTTGGGGGGGTGTGTGTGTGCGCGCGCATGCGTGTGTGTGAAACCTCTGTAGTGTTTCCCATAATGACTGTACTCATTTATATTCCCACCAATGGTGTAGAAGAGTTCCCCTTTCTCCATATCCTCACCAGCATTTGTTACTTTTTGTCTTTTTAATAGTAGCCATTTTAATTGGCATGACATGATATCTCATTGTGGTTTTGATTTTTATTTCCCTGATGATTAGTAACGTTGAGCATTTTTTTTTTTTTGTATACTTGTGGGCCATTTGTATGTCTTCATTTGAGAAATATTTATGCAAATCCTTTGCCCAGTTTTTAAAGGAATTATTTGTTTTCTTGCCGTTGAGTTGTTTGAGTTTCTTGCATATTCTGGATACTAATCCCTTGTTGGATGAATAGTTTGCAAATATTTTCTTTTATTCAACAGGTTGTCTCTTCATTTTGTTGGTTGTTTTCTTTGCTGTGTAGAAACTTTTTAGTTTAATATAGTCCCATTTGTCTATTTTTGCTTTGTTGTTTGGGCTTTTGAAATCTTACCCATAAAATATTTGCCTCAACCAATGATGAAGCATGTTCACTTTGTTTTCTTCTAGTAGCTTTATAGTTTCTGGTTGAACATTTAAATCCACTTTGAGTTGATTTTTGTTTATGGTGAGACACAAGGGTATAATTTAATTCTTCTGCATATGGATATCCAGTTTTCTCAGCACCAGTTTTTGAAGAGAGCATCCTTTCTCCAATGTAAGTTCTTGACGTCTTTGTTGAAAATCAGTTGGCTGTAAATACATGGACTTACTTCTGAGTTCTGTTTTGTTACACTGGTCTATGTGTCTGTTTTTATACCAATATCATGCTGTTTTGGCTACTATAGCTTCACACTATACTTAAAAGTCAGGTAGTGTGATGTCTGCAGCTTTGTTCTTTTTACTGAGTATTGCTTGGGCTATTCAGGGTCTATTGTGGCTCTATACAAATTTTAGGATTTTTTTTTTCTATTTCTGTGAAGAATTTCATTGGTATATTGATAGGGATTGAATTTAATCTGTGGATTTTTTTTTGTGGGTAGTACGATCACCTTAACAATTTCAATACTCCCAATCCATAAGCATGAGATATCTTTCCATTTGTTTGTCCTCTTCATTTTGTAATTTTCCTTGTAGAGATCTTTCACTTGGTTAAATTTAGTCCTAGATTTCTTATTTTTTTGTAAGTATTGTAAATGAGATTGCCTTCTTGATTTTTTTCGCTGCTAGTTCATTATTGGTGTATAAAAATGCTACTAATTTTTGCATGCTGTTTTTATGTCCTGCAACTTTACTGAATTTGTTTATCTGTTCTAAGAGTTTTTGATGGAATCTTTAGGTTTTTCTGTATATAAGATCATGTTATCTGCAAAGGGAAAGTTTGACTTTCTATTTCCCAATTTGGATGTCTTTTATTTTTTTCTCTTGCTTGATTGAACTGGCTAGGACTTCTAGTACTATGTTAATAAGAATGATGAGAGTGAGAATCCATGAATTGTTCCAGTACTTTCAGCTTTTCTTCATTCAGTGTGATATTACCCATGGGTTTGTCATATATGGCTTTTATTATGTTGAGGCACGTTCCTTCTGTTCATAATATTTTGAGAATTTTTATCATAAAGAGATGTTGAATTTTATCAAATGCTTTTTGTGCGTCTATTGAGATAATTGTATGGTTTTTATTGTTCATTCTTATGTGATATATGACATTTGTTGATTTGTATATATTGAAACATTCTTGCATCCCTGGAATAAATCCTGCTTGATCATGGTGTATTATCTTTTTGATGTGTTGTTGGATTCAGTTTGCTAGTATTTTATTGAGGATTTTTGCATCTATGTTTAGACATTGGCTTGTTGTGTGTGTGTGTGTGTGTGTGTGTGTGTGTGGTGTCCTGGTCTAGTTTTGGTATCAGGGTAATGCTGGCCTTGTAGAATGAGCTAGGAAGAATCCCCAAATTCCCTCCTCTTCAGTTTTTTTGAAATAGTTTAGGAAGCATTGGTGTTAGTTCTTCTTTGTAAAGTATGGTAGAATTTAGCAGTAAAGACAACTAGTCCTGGACTTTTCTTTGCTGAGAGACATTTTGTTCCTGATTCAATCTTGTTATTAGTTATTGGTCTGTTCAGGTTTTCTATTTCTTCCTGGTTCAACCTTGGTAGGTTGTATGTGTACAAGAATCTATCCATTTTCTGTAGGTTTTACAAAGTGTATAGTTGTTCATAACAGTCTCTAATGATTCTTCATATTTCTGTGGTATAAGTAGTATTATCTTCTTTTTTATTTCTGATTTTATTTGGGTTTTCTGTCTTTTTTCCCCTTAAGTTAGTCTAACCAGTGCTTTATCAATTTTGTTATCTTTTTAAAACATGAATTTACATTTCATCGATTCTTTGCTTGTTTTAGTCTCTACTTTATTTAACTCTGGCCTAATCTTTATTATTTTTTTTCCTTCTACTAATTTTGGATTTAATTTTCTACTTTTTTGATGTAGGTGTATATTGCAATAAATTTCCCTCTTAGCACTGTTTTTTGTTGTATCTCACATGTTTTGGTATGTTCTGTTTCCATTTTCACTTGTTTTTAAAAAAATTTTTAAAATCTGGTTCTTAATTTATTCAGTGACCCAGTGGTTGTTCAGGAGCATGTTGCCTAATTTCTAAGTATTTATTCAGTGTCCAAAATTTCTCTTGTTATTGATTTCTAGTTTTATTCCATTGTGGTCTGAGAAGATAGTCAATATGATTTCAATTTTTAAAAATTTGTCAGGACTTGGTTTTTGGCCTAACATATGGTCTATCTTGGAAAATATTCTGTGTACTAATGAGAAAAATGTGTATTCTGCAGCTGTTGGGTAAAATGTTCTGTAAATGCCTGTTAGGTCCATTTGGTCTAAAGTACAATATAAATAAAATATTTTGTTGATTTTCTTTCTAATGTTGAGAGTAGGATGTTAAATTCCCCAACTTTCATTACTTTGGAATTTATCTCTCCCTTTAGATCTAACAATATTTGCTTTATACATTTGGGTGCTGTGATGTTGGATAGATATATGTTTAGAATTGTTGTATCCTCTTGCTGAATTTATCCTTTTATCATTATGTAATGATCTTCTTTGTCTCTTTTTACAGCCTTTGACTTAAAGTCTGTTATATCTTATACAAATATAGCTACCCCTGCTTGCTTTTGGTTTTGCTTTTCACAAATTATCTTTTTCCATCCTATTACTTTCAGTCTATGTGTGTCTTTTACAGGTGAAGTGAGTTTCTAGTAGGCAGCATATATTGGAGTTTTTTGTTTGTTTGTTTTTAGCTGTTCAGTCAGTCTATATCTTTTAAGTGGCGAATTTAATCTGCTTACATTCAAGGTTATTATTGATGTGAGAACTTATTCCTGTCATTTTGTTTATTGCTTTATGGCTGTTTGTATACCCTTTGTTTCATTCTCTCTTATCATTTATTATTGTGGGTTGGTGGCTTTCTGTAGTAGTAACATTTGACTCCTTCTCTTTCTCTTTTGTGTGTATGATCTACCATTGAGTGTTACACTTTTGTATGTTTTTATTATGTCATATATCAACCTTTCACTTCCAAATGTAGGACACACTTAAATTTTCTTGTAGGGCTGGTCTGGTCGTGAATACCCTCAGTTTTTGCTTGTCTGGGAAATACTATTTTTTCTTCATTTTTGAAGGATAACTTTGCTGGGTGTAGTATTCTTGATTAGCGGGTATTTTTTTTCTTTTAGCACTTTGAATATATCCTTGCATTCTGTCCTATCCTTATGAGAGTTCTGCTGAGAGATCTACTATTGATCTGATGGGGTTCCATTATATATAACTTGATGCTTTTATTTCACTGTTTTTAGAATTCTGTCTTTGGCTTTTGTCACTTGGAGTATAATATGCCTTGGAGAAGACATTTTTGGGTTGAATCTATTTGGGATCTTTGAGCTTCCTGTATGTAGATGTTTATATCTCTTGCAAGACTTGGGAAGTTTTTAGCTATTATTTCATTAAATAGATTTTCTATGCCTTTGGACATCTTTTGCCCTTCTGGAATTCCCCAAATTAGAATATTTGGTCACTTTATGTGTCTTATATTTCACACAGGATTTCTTCTTTCTTTCTTATTCCTTTGTTTGTTTGTTTGTTTGTTTTTGCCTGACTAGGTTATTTCAAAAGACCTGTATTCAAGAATTCTTTATTCTGGCCAGGTGCGGTGGCTCATGCCTGTAATCCCAGCACCTTGGGAGGCTGAGGCAGGCTGATCATGAGGTCAGGAGATCGAGACCATCCTGGCTAACACAGTGAAACCCTGTCTCTACTAAAAATACAAAAAATTAGTTGGGCATGGTGGTGTGTGTCTGTAGTCCCAGCTACTCAGGAGGTTGAAGCAGGAGAATCACTTGAACTCAGGAGGCAGAGGTTACAGTGAGCTGAGATCGCACCACTGCACTCCAGCCTGGCAACAGAGCAAGACTCCATCTCAAAACAAAAAAATTCTTTATTCTGTTTGATCTAGCATATTGTTGAAGCTCTTGATTGTATTTTTCAGTTTTATTCATTGAATTCTTCAGTTCCAGAATTTCTGT